TAATCCACATTCTAAAGTTTGCTTCTCAATATGAGTTAGCTAGTTCAGTTTTGTACGCATTAAGTATTTTGTGAGTAAGTTTTCTTGTTTTGTCACTCACATAAAGCAACCAAATTTTTAAGTGGTACACGGCATGTGAAACTAACTCAATTCTGCTAAGGTTGTGGTAAAAGAAATATGATTGACCATTTCTCTTTGCTAATATTGTGAGAAGCAATGTGATTCACTATTAATAGAGTTTGTGAATAGAGTAAAACCCACATCCCTTATGGACTTTCAACTTACACTTTGGGGTTGTCCAACTAAGGTAAGACTTTCATGTCTATAAGTAAATTTGGACTAAAGATTGTGGGTCACTACTCGTTCAAAATTCTATAAGGTTTTTTGTTAATAATGAATTTAAAGTTCATTTGAGGAAGTTGAGCTTGAGTGGGAGATAAAGTTGCATTATTTAGAATGCATAAAATTGCATTATTTAGAATGCAAATATGGTCCCAAAATGCAAACTCAACCACCTCAAATACATATACATGAAGCTTTAATGAAATTATGTATGAATTGACATTTTGAGGTCTTGTTAAATTGTCTATAAGTCCGAGTCTCATTGGTCATAAATGTGGCTCAATGGATTCAAAAGACAATAATGAGAGACATAAGGTATGTCTAGCCAACATAATTTTCATCTGAATAAGGACTTTGGTTACAAGAGATTTTTATTTTGGTTTTGATGAGAAACTCTTTGTAATCTATGTCATTTTGAAGTATTTGATATTAAGTTAACTCCCTCTACGGTATTACAATTATACTAAGTCATTATCTCATTTTGAATTGAGATAAATAAAGTTAATAATTGTATATACTATAGGTTGAGTGGTAGATACTCTTAAGAAAACTTAAGTTATCTATCTCATTCATTGTCCCAAGAATGAGTCTAAAGTTTATAGACAAAAGATCTACATATGGTTGGTAATATTTTGTATTTTCAAGAATGTATGTATTTGGATTTCGCATACATGTAATTATTTGACAAATGATTGAATATTGATTATTAACCTTTTGAATGCAGCCAAGGGGTTAATAAAGTTTTGATTGAAAACAAAAGAGAGTTTATACTCACTTAAGTATTATTGGATCATTTGGGAGATCATTTGGAACTCTAATTTTGAGTTAATTGGATGT